TGTTTGTGTGTCCTGGTGCAGGTCAACACAGCTCAACTGAAGTCATGTGAAAAATTCAAAAAGTGTTTTTTTTTTTACCGCTACTTTTCCTTTATACTGGCTTTTCACAATAACAAATTCAATTAGTCAGAGGTTGGATGAAAGGTAGTGTAGTAAGGTCTCATTCGCACAGACACTCCTGTGTTTACCTTTTCTAAACACAGCAGAAGTTATCTAGAAAGTAGAATCCAATGGTATGCTTCCCAGATCACGTTTATAATTTACGGTCTCTAATCAGATGCTGTACATACTGGTGACTTTATCAAAACTGGAGAAGCAGCTGCCCATAGTAAGTAATCTACCTTCAGTTTGCTCAGTTAAGCTTTGAAAATTAAAGATGGAAGATGTTTGGTTGGCATGGGCAACTGCTCCAATTTTCTTAGATTCCTCCACAGAGTCCTATTCTCTCTAAATACAGATAAACTGAATGCAGGCAAATGCAATGTTTATATGATAACATTGATAATCAATGACATGCATTAATAAATCAGCTTTTCTCTTCGGTTTGCTCAGTTAAGCTTTGAACATGCAAGATGGAAGCTGATTGGTTTTTATAAATCCCCCTCATGTTCAGACATTTTTATTCAACTTGTTTACACCAATATTGTACTATTCTAAATGTTTAAAAACCATAATTAAGTGCATTCACTTTATTTTGTCAGGGAACCTGTAAACATTTCGACGTTTGTGAGTGACAAAGCAAAGAGAGTGGGTACATAGCTCTGCATACTATAGAGTGAGGAGAGAAGCATGATGGGATTGATGAGCATGTGACACAGACCAGGAAGTAGCAGAGTGAGCTGATCACACACTCCATGTGCAGAGCTATGTATAGGAGACTGGTGTGATCACATTGCGGAATGAGGAGGATTGAAGCATTAGCAGGAGGAGACTGACATGGCTTCTGGAGGTAGGAAAACACACTTATACACTGGGGGTTGGGTCATTGCTGCATCGTCTGTCTCTATTTGAAGACTATGGCAGAGTGCATTCAAGGAGATAAATATTTCCAGAGATGAAACCCACTCATCAATGCTGTAGTGAAGCACATCACAATGCTGTTACATGCTGTATGTTTCATGCTTCAGACGTCTGCACAGAGTGTATGTTAACCCTAATAATGGACTTCTCCTATCTGCTCCCTTTTGGTCTTTTTAAGTCTATCTCTGGGGGGAAAAAACTACTGTTGCAGTGGGACTAAGCCCACACTGCATGGGTTAACTGCTTATGTATGCTTAGGGAAGGGGTGGGCAACTCCAGCCCTCCAGCTTTTGTGGAACTACAAATCCCATGAGGCATTGCAGGACTGACAGTTATACCAGAGGCATGTTGGGATTTGTATTTAAAGCACAGATGGAGGGCTGGAGTTGCCCGCCCCTGATGTAGGGGTATGGTGTAAAGTCGTTTTAAAGTGACACTAAACTTTAAAAATTAAATCTTAACCACCTCCTGTCCATGGCTGTGGCTGGCCGGGAGCCTTAAAGGAGCGATGGCTGTTTACATTCAAGTGATCGGGCGTAGTAGTAGCAGCATTGTAGTAGCGTATGTCCAGAAGGAAGGACAGTGTCAGCAGCAATTCAGAGATGATTTGAAGATCTACAGCCTAGTGATACACAAATAAGATACATTTTTGTTAATAGTTAAGGTACTTGGACGCATTTTTAAGATCTCATTCCCGAGTTTAATGCCACTTTAATTACCTGATCCCTGCTTCCCCAGCAGTCTAGGCTCTTCTCTCTCTCACTCCCCTCCAATTTGTGGATTGTCCCTTTAGCTATCATTATGCATTCCTCATGTATAATTAGATGTGATGATGTCAGCAGACCTCCGTCCACTGGGGTGCAGGGAAAGAAGAGGCTGTGTGCACCATTCTTTGAGCCTAGAGGTTTTGGGATCAGGTAAGTAAAAGTTTACTCAATACCCCTAGACAAAAAGGAGCATTTAACCCTTGCAGGGGCGGTGGAGGCTAGTGCCAAAGCTCATGTTATATTAAAGCAAACTCACTCCACAGATCCACAAGTTTTTTGTTGTTTCTCTCTCTCTCTCTCTCTCTCTTAACGTTACTATGACACAGGGCTCAACAATTCCCAGGTCGCTATGGTGACTAGAAATTGCTTTTGTCAGCCCGTTCACTGCTTGCACCAGGGTTGAGCAATTCCTATTGCCCGACGCACCAGACATGCAGTCCCGGCCAGCGCATCAGCTCTGCTCCCCCCGACCCGATTGTTGCGTGGTGTGTGTCCCATTCGAACCCCGCTGCTCTCCCTGTCTGTATCGG